CCAATGACAGGAACCAGTGCCCCACCTTTGTCTGGCACCTGCTCCACCATTCTGCCTCGGCCAATGCCCACCATGTCCTGTCCTCAGCCACCTGCTGCCAATGCCCACCATGTTCCCCGCATGCCCCTTGGTGGTCAGCACACGTCGTAGTGACTGGTGGTTTGGCTGTTTGGTTGTTCTGCCATTCGGTCTATTTGCATATTAGGGTTTTATCTATTTACTAGAGGCCCGGTGCACGAAATTCATGCACTGAGGGGGCTGTCTCTCAGCCCAGCCTGCACTCTCTCCAATCTGGGACCCCTCGAGGGAGGTCCAACTGCCCATTTAGGCCTGATCCCTGTAGTTGGACTCCCTCTCACAATCCAGGACTGCTGGCTCCCAACAGCTCACCTGCCTGCCTGATTATCCCTAACTGCTTCTTCCTGCAAACCTGATCAACCCCTATCCACTCCCCTGACAGCCTGATTGACACGTAACTGCTCCTCTGCCAGCCCGATCACCCCCAACTGCCCTCCCCTGCTGGCCTGGTCACCAACATCTGCCCTCTCCTGCTGGCCTGGTTTCCCCCAACTTCTCTCCCCTGCTGGCCTGGTTTCCCCTAACTGCGCTCCCCTGCTGGCCTGATCTCCCACAACTGCCTTCCCCTGCAAGCCATCTTGTGGTGGGCATCTTTGACCATATGGGGGTGACCATCTTGTGCGTTGGAATGATAGTCAATTTGCATACTGGTTATAACTAATTAGCATATCTGGGCTAATTAGCATATCCCTGTCTTATTATATACTAGAGGCCTGGTGCACAAAAATTTGTGCACTCAGGGGGGAGGGGGGGTTCCTCAGACCGGCCTGTGCCCTCTTGCAGTCTGGGACCCCTTGGGAGATAACAACCTGATGGCTTAGGCCCGCCACCCTCAGTCACGATCAGGGAAGGGCCGATTTGGGGGTTGGGGCACCACTCTCTGTCACACTCAAGGCAGGGTCAATGGGGAGGTTGCGGTGCCACCCCCTGTCACGCACAGAGCAGGGCCCATCAGGAGGGTTGGGGCTCTGTACCCTGTCACGCACAGAGCAAGGCCCATCAGAGGGTTGGGGAGCTCCCCCCTGTCACTAACAGAGCAGGGCCGATCATGGGGTTGGGGCATCGCCACTGTCACACTCAGGGCAAGACCAATGGGGAGGTTATGGCTCTACCCCATCACACACAGATCAGAGCCCGTGGAGGAGGGTTGGGGTGCCGCCCACTATCACCCACAGAGCAGGGCCAATCAGGGGGTTGGGGCGCCGCATGCTATCACACACAGAGCTGCAGGGCGATCAGGGGTTTGGGGAGCTCCCTGCTATCAGGCACAGAGCAGGGATGATCAGGGGGTTGGGGCGCCTTCCCCCGTTACAAACAGAGAAGGGCGGATAGGGAGGTTGTGGCCCCGCCCCCTGTCACAAACAGAGCCGTAGGGCAATCAC